CGATGTCAGGCTGGAGACTAAGGTGCACCTGATGTAGGCTATAGTCTTCACAATTACGTGCTATGCATCAGAGAGTTGGACAGTGAATAGGGATGATAGAGAGAGAATTGATGCCTTTGAGCTGTGGTGCTGGAGAAGAGTGTTGAATATACCATAGACTGCTAGGAGAACAAACAGGTTTGTCCTGGAGAGGATGAAGCCAGAATGTTCCCTGGAGTCAAGGATTCTGAATCTTCATCTGACATATTTTGGGCATTTTGCAAGGAGGGACTGGTCCTTGGAGAGGGACATCATGTTTGGGAGAGTAGAGGGGCAGCGAAGGAGAGGAAGATCTTTGATGAGAAGGATCTATTCTGTGACTGGAGCGGTGGGAATAAGTGCAGTTGAGATGGCTAGGTTGGCACAGGACAAAAGAGCATATAGAGCTCTTGTATATAGTGTCGCTATGAGTTGCCAGCGACTCGATGGCACATAACAACATCAACAACATAGTGCTAATGTGCTGTTGAGTTGCAACCAACTCATATCTGACCTTCCAGCTAATTTTCAGAGACAGTAAATTACACAAAAGGAGTTTGACCATCCTTCTCCCATGGAATCACTACCCCTACATGCCTTTGGGTTGACAGTACAGCATAATGCAACCCTGGGTCACCAGAGCTCTATTAGAAGGAGAGAATATCTATAGGTCTTACATAAAATTTATCTTGCTAGTGGCAGGAAGCTGCACTGCATTCCTGAAGGAATGTAGTTCAAGTCCATCGGTAGCTTCATGTAAGAAATATGGGCATTCTTTTCCCATGCTACTAACTGCCTTTGAAAACCCACTTGATGGTCAGCTGTGGGTTGGTTCTGACATGATGGTCCCCAATAACACAATATACTCCTTTTGGCGAAACAATTTTAAATTTTACTTCCAGCTGTTGGATTATACCATTCAAGTTTGTGGTGATATGAAAAAGCCTGATTTTGGATATAACCATGCAAATATTTCCTAATAAATTCTCCTTCTTTGAGTGCACCATACGTGGTACACACTATTTAGGATATGTTTGTTCATAAGACTGTTAATCAGTGAGTGATGTTGACTTTGATGGGGAATTGGGAGAGTTCTGTTTTCTGTTTTTTTAATTCCAATTCAAATCTTTCTTTACAAAATCACTTTCGTAGTGTTTAGCATTAACATTTTCCATGTAATCTCAGAGAAAGATAGTGTGTACTGAGTAATTGTTGGAAGGTGTTATTCAGTTAACTCTGAAAGTCGTAGCAGCCTAAAGTGACTGCCCTATCATATTGTGTAAGCTCTTAGGGAGCAGATAGCCAAATTATTATCCCATAGACTTTTTAGATGGATTGAAATGGAATGTTTTTATTAGTCCTGAGCTCTTAAACATTATGCCATCAGAGTTCTTGTCTGAGTCAATGATAAATATAAAAAGACTGATGTACATTCATGGAAGCAGTAGTTCTCCCATTGCAGTGTATGTATGATTTACCTGGAATACTTGTTTATAAAGCAGATGCTTGAAGTCATGCTCCAAAAATGGTACTGTGTACAGGTATAGAGTAGGGCTAGAAATCTAGCTGTTTTACAAATATTTAGAGAGGGAGATTGGTTGGGAAGTATTTAAACCTCTCATTACTCTTGGTGAAGAGTTTTTCTGGAATAGAGTTATGCTTCAATAGTAATAGTCACTGCATGCTTCATGTGACAGCAGAATTGTATTAAGTTAATAGTATTTTAATGAATACCATTTTAATAATACAACTCTTTGAACTTTCATACATGTTTTTGAACACATGTAACATGTTTTCCTTTGTAATTGCCATGAGCTCTAACATACACAGTATTTTTAATTTGTGCAGCGAAACCTTACAGAATATTTTGTTGCTGTGGATGTTAACAATATGCTGCATCTGTATGCCAGCATGCTACACGAAAGGCGCATCGTCATTACCTCCAGCAAATTAAGCACTGTAAGTACTTCACACTTCTCCTTTTAAATTGAATATATTGAGCTTCTCGCCAAAAGATCTACAAAACTCTACAATATTAGAAATTATCCATGGGCACTTGTAAGACAGTATCTACATACTTTTTGGATATATGGTTTTAATCTGGCTCTTGAAATACAAAAGTCTGATTTATAGAAGGTCTTCTCAGATGCATTAAGTCAGTTAATTATTTTTTTTCTTATCAGAAGATGAGAGTTGCTATTTTTTTTTAATTCTCTAGAGTTCATTTTAGTGCCTGCTGCCATATAAAGAATTCTTAAGAGCTATTATGAGATTTTTATTATTCACTTGTGTCTTTTTCCATGGAAGCTACTTGAAAGAAATCAAGGGGCCATGATAATAGCTACTATCCCAACCTGGTAATAGGTAGATTCATCTTTGTTGCTAAGTAGTGGTTTGGGAGTAGATTCTATAATAGTTCTGATTTAGAGGAGCTCTTCAGACTGATAATAACTTAAAAGTCAAAGCAGCATTTTATTATTTTTTTTTAGAATCACAGGTTTTATGACACTAAAATGTTCTTTTGGAAGATTTTTTTTTTTACTATGGCAGAGGCTGTGAGAATAGAAGAGTTTTTCTTGTTTTATAGAAAGCATTCAAAAGTCATCTTTTTTCTATCTTAAGCATTAAAAAGTAATAACTTTACTTTTGATTTTTTCAAAATGTTTAAATATAGTCCTGAGTAATTGATAAGGTGTTTTATGAAAAAAATATTGTTTTATGTTATATGAATTTATTCCCCTCCCCAAGTTTGGTTAGTTTATTAAAATAACATAATTGTGGTTTGCCCTTCTAAGTAGGCTAAATAGAAATGAACAAAACTTCATGCTATAATATTTTAACATTTACAGGTAGAAGGAATGTTAAGATTTTGCTAGTGTATTTTAAAATTAAACAGAATTAATTTCAGAGAAGTTAAATAGCCATTTTAAGGCATAGCAACTCATTGGCAACAGATTCTGCTAGTTCTAATTCTATAAATCTATTACTTGCCCTCAAAATATGTAATTGGGAAATTTTGGTATTGTAATATTGCCATGAACATTAAAATATTAAAATTATTTTATGTATTGAAAAAATTGTTGTCATATGTATTTTAAGAGGTAAATATGAAGAAATAGTGGAATAGCATCAGAAAATAAATACTTATTATTGATGAAGTAGTTATTTGTAGTTTCTTAAGTGAGGTTGAGGTGTTCACTCTGAAACATTTAGTACTTTTATGATTTTACTTTCATGATATTTTAATATGCCATTGAGGTAAAGACATCTTCCTTCTCTTTTTTCAAGGGGAAAACATTGTACAGAGTGTCATGTAGACCTAGGAATCAAATTTCCGAAAGGACTAATTCATATAGAAATATTTATTAGGCACCTGCTATGTGCTTTCTTGGCACAATGGATCAAGCAGCATATACTTGGATGAAGAGGCATTTGTCAGAACAGAGCAGGGTAACACTGCATTGTTCAGAATTGGGAAGAGTGTACACCAGGGATGTGTCCTATCTCCATACCTTTTCAACCTGTATGCAGAGTAGATTATCTGAGAGGCTGGGCTCTATGAGGAGAAGTGTGGTGTCAGGATTGGTGGAAGATCTGTTAACAATCTGCATTGTGCAGATGACAACCCTTCTTACTGAAACTGAGGAGGACCTCATACACTTGCTGCAGAGGGTTAAGGACTGCAGCCTTCAGTATGGACTGAGGCTCAATGTCAAGAAGACAAAGATTCTCACCACTGGACCAATTGGTAGCATCAGGATAGATGGCGAAGAGATTGAGATTGTTCACAGCTTCAGTTTGCTTGGATCCACGGTCAACAATCTTGGCTCCAGCAGCCAGGAAATGAAAAAGCGTATTGTGATGGAATATCTGCTGTTAGGGTCCTCTCTAAAGTACTCAAGAGCAACGGTGTCACTCTGGAGACTAAGGTGTGTCTGATAAGGCCATGGTTTTTGCAATCACTTGTTATGCATCAGAGAGTTGGACAATGACTAGGGAGGATAGAAGGAGAATTGATGCCTTTGAGCTGTGGTGCTGGAGAAGAGTATTTAATGTACCATGGACTTCCAAGGAAACAAACAGATTCATCCTGGAGAGGGTTAAACCAAGCTACTCCTTGGAGGCAAGGATTCTGGGGCTTTGTCTGCCATACTTTGGACATGTTCTAAGGAGAGACAGGTCCTTGAAGAGGGACATCATGCTTGGGAGGGTGGAAGGACAGTGCAGGAGGGGAAGACCCTCTTTGAGGTGGATTGATTCAGTGACTGGGGTAATTGGAATGGGTGTGTCAGAGGCAATGCGATTGGCACAGGACAGAGCAGGGTTGAGGGCTGTTGTACATAGAGTCGTTATGAATCGCAAGAGACTCGACGGCACATAACAACAACAACAGAACAAAGTCAAGGTCAAATCCTCTTGAATCTTCTAGCTAGTTGGATAAAACATAATTTAATAATAACTTGTCATTTTGTGATAATGAATAAATATTATGTCATGTGACGATATATGATAAGGCATAATGAATAATACTGTATGTGTGTGTATGATAGACAGGGGGAAGACTTTTTAAATTTTATTTTATGAATTTTAATGAAGGTTTACAGAGCCTTTTCTTTCATTGGTATACAATCCCTGCCCCCAACAACTCCACCCCGAGTACACTCCACTATGCAACCTTCATTCTGGACTCTTGTTATAACCATAATAAAGGGGTAGATTTTTATATAAGGTAATTATAGAAAGCCTTTTGAATAAGGTGATAATTGAGTTGAGAGGTGAAGAAAGCGATGGACTGAGTTATGGGAATGAATGTACAAATTTCTCTATTGGGAAAGACATACGAACACATTTGAGTTATATTTTTCAAAAATATTGATGTCTCTTTTTGTTATACTTTTTAATGACTGAGTAACCTCTTTGTAACTTGGTTTCTTTGTATGTAAAATGATAGCAATTATTGTCTTAATTTCATAAGAATATGTGAGGAATAAATTTATACAAAGTCATAAACATCACAATATTTATAATTATACCTCTTGTTTTTGTTGTTATGTGCTGTCGAGTTGCCTGCAATTCATGGTGACCCTAAGTACAACAGCTCTTAGCTCTAAACCCTGCTCTATCCTGTGCCAGGCTTATTCTCTCTGACACACCTCCCCATTACCCTTGTCACTGACCCAGTACAACTCATCGAGGGTCTTCCTCTCTTGGGCTGTTCCTCCACCATCCCAAGCATGACGTCCCTCTCCAAGGACTGGTCCCTCCTTGCAACATGCCCTAAGTATGTCAGATGAAGCTTCAGAATCCTTGCCTCTAAGGAGCAGCCTACAAAGGATAAATATTTGCATTGATTATTCATTATAATTATTTTAGTAGCCTAGACCTGTAGTTTAAAAGTGGATGAACATGTATACCCTTTAATTTTTATTTCATTTGATTTAGTAAATTATTATAGAAACATTTGAAACTATTAAAAAACCTGTTTTTCTCTCTTTGAGGTCAATGTAATACCAAGTGTTTTTGACTGTTAATGAAAACTTAATGGTGATTTTAACTCTAAGTTCCTAACTCTTTGGGTCATTCTCTGGGCCAGTAGAAATGATAGAAGAACCATAATTCAAATTCTTTTTGTCATGATCTCCTTACCCTTCATCTGTGGGATTTACTTGAGTCTGTCTTGGAAAAAAAAATCTTTAATAAGTATGCTTTAAATTTCATGCAAAAAAACTTTTATGGTCAAAAACTAGTGCCATAACATAAAGTAGAAATAAACTGTTTTAACAAAATAATTTAGTCAAATCTTTGATACTTCCAGGGGAAGAATATATAAGGGGACAGGTTGCTTACTTAAGGTTTTTATGTTCAAATGTATTTTTATATCATAAATATTTTCTATTTCCTTATGTCAATAGCTCAAGTTCTTGAATAAGTGCATGCAGGTTAATAAGTCATTCTGTTTATAATTATGTTGTAATATTAGGAATTTTCTTTCCCTGCATAACTGATTTTATTTGCAATCATAATTTTCTAATAGTGTTGTCAACCATTTAGTTGATTTTAGTCATGATACAGTTGTAGAGGGAGAATCAGCCATAACAAAATTTCCATTGTTTAGATGGTGCTGTTTTTAAACTTAGAATTTTTTAAATTTATGGTGATAAACATAAAAATGATTTAATTTTGAGATAAACATATAAATAATATTGTCATGTTTTATAGTTTAGTCATTTTGTAGTCTTATACTGAAGGTGTTACTGTGTTAGGACCCACTATTATATTTTTATATGTTTGATTTGTATGCACTTGACTTAATGACTTTTGCTTTAATTTTAATGATTTATATGTTAAGCACATTTAATGATTCATGTACATTTAATGATTTGTACATTGTGTTATAAAGCACACATAAAAAAGATTTTCTAGCAATCCTGAACAAGAACACTGATTTTATGCATGTTGCAGGCAGGCTGTAGATGTTTAAGCCCCAAGTGAACCTCGTGTAGACTAGCAGAACATCATACCAGAGTATCATGTATTCAAAGCAAAGGAATAAATCATGATTTTACAAGAGTGTATCAGTTGACTTATTGCTGTTTTGTGACCAGAGGTAGAAAAGATTGCTGTTTAAAGCCATGTCATCGGTTCTCAAATCAGTCAGGCATGAAGCCTTGTCATATGCCTCTATAATTGTACCTCACCAGACTTTCTCTAACTAGTCAGCTGGGGCTGTACATTTTGTTTCAAACATCCGGCTGGCCAGCGTCTGACAGGAGTGTTCTCATCATCCTGTCAGTATATGTTAACTAGAGTGTATCTCTGTGGCCTGAAGAAGCAGGTGGAAGAGACGCTTCTCTTTAAAGCAGATGTCTAAATGTTAGCTCCTATTTTGGCCAATATTTAGTTGGTAAATGTACCCTCTTCAAGTCTATAAGCTCATTAGTTACAGAGATTTGATTGTG